CAATAATATTACCTAAAATATCTTTAACCTAAAAAATTCATAACTTTTAATTGATTAATTACCTATATTTGTTTAATTTGAACTTCTGATAAATGTTACCTGGTACTTGTTACATTTATGAGTGAGTTCTACTAAAAAAAAAGATTCTCATATTTTTCAAGTCCTGTGTTCAAATATTAAAATTATTAAAATGTTATTAATAAATAACATAAAAAATAATACTTGAGTCTCGTGATTTAATAATATTATATTCTATTAAATGTTCATATTTTAACTTAAAAGTTAAGATTTCAATTCCTTTCCCTTTAGTGTAGTCTGTTTAAAAAATATATATACAATATGAAAAAGGTAATCTGAAAAAGGTGACATTTTTTTTAAAGAAAAAAACTAAAATAATGTAAGAACTCATGTTTCATGCTTTGCGTAAGTGTCTGTACTTCTTACCAGCTGAGACCGGAAGAACAGGATCTGGTCTCTGCCACAGTTCTCATTGCCAGCGCAACCGAATGTTCTTTTTCTCGTGTCCTTTTTTGACTGCAACATTGGATCAAACTCTAGCCTCATAGCCAATCACCTTCTGGTTTGATGGTCCAACCCACTTTGTCACATATACGTATCGCCACCGAGTCCTGGATTGATCCCATGCATTCCCCCCATCCCTAGCTAGCTAATTTAAGAAGAAAAACTCTAATATATTATCTACATTGAATTTTGTATGTAATAACAAAAATTAACTACATGCTTCATGCTTCTTATTAGGAGCTGTAAGGCCAATATTGAAACTGCTAAATCTAAACTCAACGTCGCTGTATATGCTGCTAGTTTTCTTTAAACACAGGAATTCAGAAACAGAGAAAACAGAAAAAGGATGGCTGAGACACAGAGCAAAGAGAAGAGAAATAGGTGGACTCTACAAAACACAACAGCACTGGTCACTGGTGGAACAAAAGGAATAGGGTTCTTCTCTCTTCCCTTTCTACCTGTTTTCTTCTACTTGTGCATTCATTTTTGCCAACTCAACTGTGGATAATTAATTGAGGTGCTAGCTATATATATATATTGGTTGAGAACCCCAATGTGGTGGTTCAATAGTTAAGAATTTGAAATTTTAAGATGGAGACCTAAAATTCGAACTTTAAGTTGGGTGGGGAGGAATTTAGAGAAAGAAGAGAACTATCTTCTCTTGTATAACCTCTTCAGATGTACCAAAAAATATATATACATATATCTAGTGGTTGGTGCATAATGGGCTTTATATATCATTCACAATCAGTAATTTATTCCTAGCGAATATGGGATTTGGGGCGTTACATGCACTACTTGGTGTATTTTACATTACTCCTCTTTTACTATGATATTTGATCAACGTGTACCACTAAGCAAGAAGCACCGTTTATGGCACAAAAAGTGCAGCAACAAAGCTGCTTTAATGGAAGAAGGAAAAGTGCAGCAAACTGCTGCATTATGGAAAAAAA